GCCTCAGTTATATGTATGTAATTGGAACTCATATATATTTGTAAGGAATTTGTATTAATTATTCCACTACATAAAATTTTATCATGCACTCATTATTCTTAATCTATATCTGGCACCCATTTGCCTTAATTAACATTTGAAATGTCACAAATGGTATCGGAGCAGAATAATTGCATATCAGATCCCTTACACTTAGGCCTTAAGTAGAAAAAACCCTTTAGAGTACCTAGGAAAAGTAAGTCCTCTTTTCAAAACTAGACCACCAACTCGTGTCTTTCTTTCTTTTATAGGAATAACGAAAGGAAAACCATCCATAGAGCGTACTGAGCAACCTGAAGCCCCGGATCACCCGACCAGGGCTGAATTTGCCAAACTCTTCCGAGCTATCCAAGTATTAACTGCAGCCATAGGAAAAAATCAAGCCAACCCTTGTCCACCTCCTACCCCTGAATTTTGAAACACCGAGAGATCCATTTCCTACAACATAGCGGAGTTTAGAAAACTTAACCCCCCCACACTTTGAAGGTGGCCCTGATCCCTTGGTAACCGAAGCCTAGATCCTACAGATAGAGAAGCTCTTCTCTATCCTAGACCTAACCGAGGAACAGAAAGTTTTCCTTGCAGCCTTCATGTTAAACGGTAAAGTAGAACACTAGTGGCGACTTAAAAAGGAAGTTCTGCCTACCCCTACCACCTGAAAAGTTTTCATGGATCCATTCTTTGATAACTTCTTCCCTGCTTATGTCCAAAAAAGAAAGGAGGAGGAATTTTAGACCTCCACCAAAGGGAGTTTAACAATTGCCCAGTATGCAACCCGTTTTGTTCAATTGTCTAGATTTGCCCCTCTAATGGTCACCCTTAAGAGTCAAAAAGTTAGAAAAGTCTCTCAAGAACCTTCGTGCCGACATCTATGATCAAGTCGTGATGCTAAGACTCAGCTCGTATGTGAAGGTGCTCAAACATGCCTAGTTGGCCGAAGATCTCATCTCAACCAAGCACCAATGCATTGCCCGAGTTCACACCCAACAACAACCTCAGCAGCTTAGGAGAAGATTACCTAACCCAGTAAGTAGCCACCGTGATAAATGAACTAGAGTTATCCTTCCCCCTGCTTCGTCTCCACTTACAATTCAACCTGTCTGACCTAACCAACCCGTCACCATTGTGATCGCTTGCATGGTGACTTACCTTATTGAAGTATCAATAATGCCTGTTATTAGTGCAGAAGCACCCATCACCTTATAAAAGACTGTCCCCAGCGACCAAACGATGTCGCCTGGCATATAGCACAAGGTCGCGTATACCACTTGGATGAACCCAGTGCTCTTCCTACTCATGTTCTTATCCAAGGTATGTTTTCTACTCATGACACTTCTACCAAGGCTCTGATCGATACAAATACTACTCACTCTTTTATTTCTCATACATTTGCTTGTAATCTTGATTTTAGACTAGAAGCTTTGGCATAAACACTAACAATAGAACTTTAGAGGACTATTAGAGGTTCATTGTGTATATAAAGACTGTAGGATAAAAGCTTCAGGAATAGAAGTATTTGTAAATTTGATACTGTTAGATTTTGTAGGATTTGATGTGATATTAAGAATGGACTAGTTGGAAAAGTATAGAGTTATAATCAATTGTGAAAGTAAAATTGTAACGTTACAGTCCCCAAAAAAGGAATAAAATTTTTTGTTATTATTTTTCCTAACCATTAAATGAACAAAAATATGGGTGCTGATCCTACTGTGTGTATCATACCAATTATTTACAACTTTTCAGATGTCTTTTCCATCAAACTTCCTAGTTTACCTCCCCTGCAAGAAGTAGAGTTCTTAAATAAATTTATGCCTAGAACCCAACCAATCTTGAAGCATGCCTATCGTATGAGTCATGTTGAGCTAATAGAGTTGAAACATCACCTTTCTAACATTATTACCTGGAAGTTTATTCGCCATTGCCATTCTCCTTGGGGCACTCCAGTGTTGTTCGTGAAGAAAAATGATGGTTCCCTCAGACTCTGTGTGGACTACCAAGAATTCAACCGAGTGACTGTTAAAAGCAAGTACCCTTTATCTCAGATCAATGACCTCTTTGATCAACTGAAAGGAGCTATGGTCTTTTCTAAGATTGATCTCAGGATGGGATACCATCAGTTAAGAGTCAAATAAGAAGATATTCTGAAGACCGCCTTCCGGTACAGGTACGGTTTGTACGAGTTCAGGAGAATAACGTTTGGATTAACCAATGCCCCTCAACCTTCATGAACCTAATGAACAGAGTTTTTTAAAACACACTAGATCAATACATTATCGTTCTTATTGATGACATCCTAGTATATTCCAAGAGCCTTGAAGAACATGCAGTGCAATTGATTGAAGCTTTGGAGACTCTTCGCTGGAATCAACTGTACGCTAAACTGAGCAAATGCTCTTTCTGGTTGGATCGAGTTTCTTTTCTTGATCACGTACTTTTGAGTGAAGGAGTTTTTGTAGACCCATCCAAGGTGAAAATGATAGTCAACTAGAATTCGCCCACCAATGTGGCCGAGGTACATAGTTTTCTTGGCTTGACAGGTTATTATTGACGGTTCATTAATGGATTTGCTAAGATTGCCACCCCACTGACTTGACTTACTCGAAAGGGGGTACCATTCATATGAAATTATAAGTGCAGTGAAAGCTTCATGGAATTGAAGTATCGTTTCATCTCTACTCATGTGTTGATCCTTCTCGATAATACAGAAAGATTCAGGTCTACTGTTATGCATCTCATATGGGCTTGGGGTGTGTCTTGATGCAGCATGGTAGAGTAGTCGCTTATGGGTCCCGATAATTGAAACCTCATGAGCAGAACTACCCTACCCATGACCTAGAACTAACAACCATCATCTTT